AGTAGTAAGTTGTTCAGTTTCCATGTGCGTGTCGGCTTTTTGTTGTTTCTGTTGTTGTTGATGTCCAGCTTTAGTCCATGGTGGTCAGATAGTATACAAGGGATTATTTCAATCCTTTTGTATCTGTTGAGGCTTGCTTTGTGACCAACTATATGGTCTATTTTGGAGAAGGTTCCGTGTGGTGCTGAAAAGAAGGTGTACTCTTTTGAGTTTGGGTGAAAAGATCTGTAGACATCTATTAGGTCCATTTGATTTAGGGATTCTGTGAGTGCTTTTATTTCCCTATTTGGTGTCTGTCTGGTTGATCTGTCCCTTGATGAGAGTGGGGTGTTGAAGTCTCCCACTATTAAGGTATTAGGATCAATGTATGATTTAAGCTTTAATATTGTTTCATTTACGAATGTAGGTGCTCTTGTATTTGGGGCATAGATATTCAAAATTGTGATGTCCTCTTGTTGGATTTTTCCTTTGATGAGAATATAGTGGCCCTCCTTATCTTTTTTGATTAACTTGGGTTGAAAGTCTATTTTATTAGATATTAGGATGGCTACTCCAGCTTGTTTTCTGGAACCATTTGCTTGAAAAACATTTTTCCAGCCCTTTACTCTGAGGTAGTGTTTATCTTTGTTGCATAGGTGTGTTTCTTGGATGCAACAGAATGTTGGGTCCTGTTTCCGTAACCATTCTGTTAGCCTGTGTCTTTTTATTGGTGAGTTGAGTCCATTAATATTGATAGATAATATTGACCAATGCATGTTAGTTCCTTTTGTAATGGAGTCGATGATCTTACCTTGTTTCATTGCTTGTTTTCTTTTCATTTTTGTTGGGATGTTATCTGTATGCCCTGTTTTCTTGGGTGAATTCGTTTTCGTTGGATTGGAGTTTTCCTTCTAGTATCTTCTGTAGGGTTGGTTTGCTGTATAGATATTGCGTAAATTTAGTTTTGTCATGGAATATTTTGTTTTCTCCATCTATGTTGATTGAAAGCTTTGCAGGGTATAGTAGTCTGGGTTGACATTTGTGATCTCTTAGAGTCTCCATGATGCTTTCCCAGGCCCTTCTGGCTTTCATAGTTTCTGATGAGAAGTCTGGTGTGATTCTGATAGGTCTACCTTCATATGTTACTTGGCCTTTTTCCCTTGCTGCTTTTAATATCTTTTCTTTGTTCTGTAGATTTAGTGTTTTGACTATGATGTGACGTGATGTGTTTCTTTTCTGGTCTAGTCTATTTGGTGTTCTGTAGGCCTCTTGTATATTTATGGACATCTCTTTCTTTAAGTTGGGAAAATTTTCTTCTATGATTTTTTTGAAAATATTTTCTGGACCTTGGAGCCTGGAGTCTTCTTTTTCATCAATTCCTATTATTCTTAGATTTTGTCTTTTCATAGCATCCTTGATTTCTTGGATATTTTGTGATTGGAATTTTTCTGATTTTACTTTTTCTTTGAGAGAAGTATCAATTTCTGCAAGTGTGTCTTCAGCTCCAGAGATTCTCTCTTCCATCTCTTGTATTCTGTTGGTGATGCTTACTTTTGTGGTTCCTGATCTTTTCTCCAAGTTCTCCAGCTCAAGAGTTTTCTCATTTTGTGTTTTCTTTATTGATTCTAATTCTGTTTTCATGCCTTGCACCATTTCTTTTATGTGTTTGAATTTGGATTCCTGTCTCTCTACGATGGACTCTATTTCTTTGTTCATTTCCTTTTTGTATGCCACTAATTTTTTCTCTACTTGTGCCTCTATTTGTTTGGCTATGTTTGCCTGTGTTTCTTTAAGGGTTTTGTCTATTTCTTCTTTCTTTACCTCCAATTGACTGGCCAACTCTTTGAAAGATTTGTTCATTTCCTCCTTATAAGCCTCAAATAATTGAGCAAGCATGGCTTTAAGGTCATTTTCCTGTGCTTCTGATGAATTGGAGTATCCATCGATTTTGGGGTTTGCTGGTGAAGTCATGATGTCCTGATTTATGTTGGAAGTGTTCTTTCGCCTACCCCTGGCCATTGGCTTGTCTGAGACCTTCCCTGTTTGTTTTTGGATTCTGCCGATCAGACTGGTACTGTCTCTCTCTCGAGTCTGGAGAATTCTTCAGGAAGTTGAGAGAGGTCCCGTGTCCTTAGCGTATGCTGAGGACTAGCTGTACAGGCAGGATACTTGGCAGAGATCGGCGTATCTGGGCTCTCTGCTCTCTGGTTTGGCCCTGCTTCTTTGATGTGCTCCGCCAGTTCCGTGCTGCTGTCACTGCCAGGTTATGAGGTCTTGCTGCAGCTGGAGATTTCAGGGTGGTCACGTCAGTGGGAATCGGGGTAATCAGCCTTTCTGTTCTCTGGTTTGGCCCTGGTTAGTCTTAAACTGGAGGGCTGATGTGCCCCGCCAGCTCAGTGCTGCTCCGCCGCCAGGTTAGAAAGTCCCGCTGTAACTGGAGACTGTGTTGCTAGTCCAGATGCTTTCTGGGAAGTCCTGGGGTCTCTTTACTGTGCTCTCCAAGCTTCGGAGGCCCAGCGCCTGGTGTGTCTAGCTTGTATGGCGTTTTTGTCTGGTTTTGGTGATTATATAGCGAATTCTCTGTCACTGTGGGATTGGGCGGGCCGTACTGTCAGTGACGGCGCTCCTGCGGAGCTAGTATGGCGTCTAGCAGACTCGGGCCCTGGGAGGATGGTGCAGCCGCCGCGAGTGAATCTGGGACTCCGAGACACAGTACTGCTGGCCTTTGCCGATAAAGGGCTTGGGGCTCCGCCTCAGTGGCTGCAGGCCCCAGGCAGTTAGGTCTGCGCTGAGAAAGGCAAGTCGGCTGTGCCTGTGCTGAGGAGGAGGGAGGTCTGGGGGAGGGGAGTGCCGAGAGATCAAAGGATCGTTTCTCACCTTCCCCAATCAAGTCCGTGGGTGACCCGAGACCAAGGTTTTCACCTCCTGCGATGTTCCCTGTTGTTTAGAAAGTCTCTCCGTTGTTTCCCTGGCTTCAGAAGTTCTTCCACACATCAGCTCAGAACTTTATCTCCTCCACAGCTCGGAAACTGTGTGTGCTAGTCGCCATCTTGGCTCCGCCCCCCTGTATTGATTTCTTCAGCGGTGCATTCAGTCACTGAGATTCTCTCCCCCATAGCTTGAATTCTGTTGATTATGTTCACCTTTGTGGTTATTAGTCTTTTTTTCTATGTTTTCTATATCCAGGAGTTTCTCTGTTTGAGTTTTCTGTATTGATTCTATTTCTGTTTTCATGTCTTACACCATTTTCTTCATCTGTTTTTATTTGGATTCCTGTCTGTTCATGATGGCCTCTATTTTTTTTGTTCATTCCCTCTCTATGTTCCTATCTATATGCCTCTATTTGTTTGTCTATATTTGCCTGTATTTCTTTGAGAGTTTTGTTTGTTTCTTATCCATGTGCCTCTAATAACTGGATAAGCATAGATTTGAGATCATTTTCCTGTGTTTTCTCTGTCAAAATATCCATTGATTTTTGTAGTTTCTGTTGAAACCTTGATCTCCTGATTTTTGTTTCATGTGTTCTTTCACTGGTCTCAACCCATCTGTGCATCAGTAGCCTTTGCTGTTTGTTCCTGGAGCCTGTACTATAGACTGAGTCCGTCTGCCTCTGCAGACTGGAGTATTCTTCAGGAAGATAAAAGAGGGCCACTGGATTGAGAGTGGATGTTGGTGTTTCAGCTGTAGCTAAGGGACAAAGATCTGAGGTGCATGTGTGCAAGCTCAGGAGTGTGCATAGAAGTGTGTCTTCAAGGACCGGGTGCTAGTGTAGATGCCTGGAAGGCTGGAACATAAGCTTAGATGGGGTGCCGTCTTGGTTACTGGATGCCATGCTCATGTTCAGGTCCCCTGAATGGCTCAGTGGATCTACAGGCCTGTTGTATTATCCTTTAGGCACTTAGACCTGTCTGGGTTGCACCATCTTGGCTTCAGGAATTTTTTTTTTTTTTTTTTTTTTGCCTTGACTCCACTGAGAAACCCAGAGAACAGGGGCTTCAATGTTGAGAACAGTCTCCCAGGGATTCTTACGGAGGTATGGGTGGGAGGGATCTGATGTCTGGCTACTAGCATGCATGGACCCTGGATCTTGGGCTCTGCCTGCACTCACTGGAAGGAGTACTCACTTGCAGGCATTTGCAGAAAGCACAGGGTTCCATGGTTCTCAACTCTCAGATTTGGATCCGGAGGAGCAAAGAAAGGGTAGGGTATCTATCAGTAGTGTCTGTGGTTTGGCAGCTACACTGGGAGGCCCATACTTGTGGCCACCTCAGCCATCTCAGCCGCTGAGCACGGATGCCCATACTTGGAACAGCCTCCACTGACGCCTCTGCTGTCTCAGTCACCAAGCAGGGTGACTTGTCCTTGGAGCAGCAGCTGCTGGAGCCAATAGTGCAAGTGAAAGTGCAGGGTGTTGAAAGTGTGCCACTCTTAGAACCAGGATATATCTCGGGGTCACGTGGATCCAATCTGTCCCAGCTCAGGCTTTGTCCTCTTTAGCTGGGGAATCCTCAAAGTTGATGATTGGCTTCAGCCACCCTTCCACTCACCAGTTTCAGAATTTATAATCCTCTGCCCCTCAGATATGGTGCGTCCTGGTCACTGCCATCCTAGTTAAGTAAAAATTTTACTGGACAACCTGAACTGAGGAATGTCACTACTACTGTTCCCCCAGTGTTTTAGGGGATTATTTTGAGTTTTCATTATCTTGAACACAGAATCTTTGCCTCCTCTTTCTATATAATAATGTGCAATTTTAAAAAAGAATTCTGTACTGTTAGAAGTAGAATTATAATTAAAGACTTTCATTGTAGTAATAATTTTGTCAAAGATAATTTGGATGCTTGAGTCTTTTGCTTTTATACCAAAGAAAGAAAATGTAATAGAAAATTTGCATCATATTATAGATTAGTTTACCTTTAGTAAATATTCATATGAAAAGTACAGAATCATATACTGGTAGCCATAATTAACTGGAGATTCCATATCACATGTTTCTAATTACTGTTGCTTCATCTGGATAGATGCTTGTGTAAACAAGGCAAAAGTTGAAGAAAGTGAGCAAAAAGCAATGGAATTTTCAAAAAAGGTAAGACTGACAAAATGGTAGTCCTGACTTTTAAATCAATAATTTAAACACAATGCATTGTTAAACCATAACCATATTTGTTTTTATATGACACTTTATAACTTGTCATTTCAATTTTGTAATACTTTGTACTACTAGAAGTAAAATTTATTTTAGAATAAGATATTTAATATTCCTTTCTCATCAACCCAGTTCATTAGGTTTGAAAAATACTAATCACATTATACTTACTGATAAATGAAATGAAATTAGCTGGCTAAAAGGATACATAGTTACAATCAAACACCCAAAACATCCTTTGCTTTCTTTTAGCATTCACTTATACTACACAGCTCCATGGAGAGCTGGGAGAAACTTGGTTTAAGCTATGCCTTTTTTGCTGTTGAGTAAATCCTGCTGTTAGAATGCTTTGCTAGCATACACAAGATTTCTGGTCTTCATCCTCAACACAAAAAACTTATTAGTGTTGATATTAGTCTTATGTTGGAATTCATTCCCTTTTTCCTGTCTCCTCACTCCTCTGTTTAGACTCCTTAGAATTTTGTTACTGCGATTTGCTAAATGATGGTGTTACTTTGTTAGGCTTTTTAGAACTTGTGGCTCTTTTTTTTTCCTGCTTATAAGTGGCTTTAAATAAGTGCAATCTACGTATATTATAATTTCTTTTAGACTGATTTACAGTCCTTTTTATTTGATGGAAGTATACATACGACTTTATTAAAAATATTAAAGTTTGTCAAGTGTTCCTCTTTCTTCTCCCTCTTTCTCCTCCTACTATCTTTCCTCTGTTCCTCTGGTATTCATTAGTAAGTTGGAGAGAGAATCAAAACAAAAGGCAGAAAAAAAAAAAACATCCCGATATTCAACCATCTGAGAGCAAGACAAGTGCTTACATTTTCTCGTCTTTAAAGTTATGACTTAACTTGGAGATTAGCATATCACTTTTGCTATCACCCCAGAAATTATAGAGCTACTTCAGGGCATTTGAAGACATGTTTTTTTTGCTCTTTTACATCCTAGAGTAGGTAATAAGAAGTTGAGTTGACCACAATTAATTTCTGGGAAACTGTCACTTTTGTTGTTAAAAATGCACACTTTTGAGTAACAGACCTTTATTATTATGCACTCCTTTTAAATAACATGTCTTATATTTCCATTGACTCTTATAGGCTCTCCTTAAATTTGACTAGACTTTGTAAAATTGAAGTAAATTGTGATGACCTATCTTCATAGTTTCCTGTAGTTAACTGCATGAGGTAAACTGAAATCATAGGAAAATACAGTAACAATTACCAACAATGTTAATTACCAACATTTAGACTGGATTTGTGGAATTAACCTAGTCATTACCTATGTGCATTGTCTTCTGAGTTATCTTAAAAGACAGTGTTAACTAGTTTTTAATTTTTAACTATCTTTTTTGAGAGTTTGATATTTGCATAATATGTTTTGATAATATTCACCTTCTACCCCTAGTTTTTCCAAAATGTTAGACATTGGTTATAAGATCCAATCTCAGCTTTTCCACTAAGCAATTCTAAGCAAGCTTCTTATTCTATTTGGATTGTGCTCTCTTCATAATTAAAAAGGGTGTCTCAGATTAGGAACTCAGAAAGAGAACTCTTCTATTGTCCACATTTAGGTTGTATCATTCCTATTCTGTTGTTTACATGCAGCACAATATTAAATTATAAGCAGGAAAAATATGTACTTGTGTAGATGGCATATTTGAAAAGCACTACAGCAGAAAGTGACTTTGACAGAAGAGCTATGATTATAGATTCAGGGAAATTGTATTGATTGAACAAGCAAGTATTAAAGGAATTCTGTCCTGTTTTGATTTGTTTTGATTTTAGAGACACTTTGTTTGTGCCCTCCTTCCTAGCCTAGAATTCACTATTTAGTTTAAGATGGCTTTGAACTTGCATTGATCCTACCATCTCTGCTTCCAAAGGATTGGTGATATAGGAGTATATTAATATGTCTGCCCAAGATCCCCATGTTCTCAGTGAAGTAGAAAAAAAGATCCCTGAAGGAGCTTAGATCATTCACCTCATGTATTTGTTGTTGTTTTAGGATTTAGTTATATTAAAAAGATTTTTACCAGCCTGTATAAGGTATTTTCCAAGTACTGAAACAGACATGAATAAAAGCATGACTAAGCAGAGTTTCAGGTTTGATGTAAATACTGTCATCTAGATTACTTATACATTTTTTTCATCCCACTAGAATAGCATTCTATAATTTTCTAAGGTCATATATAAGGTCACATCTATTTATTAACAGGGAATGGCTGCTTTATTAGTTTATTTACTTTAAGTGCAGTCTGGGTAATAAGACATACAACTTTTAGAAACAGAAAAAATATTGGGACAATCTATAGACATATAAAATTACTTGCATTAACAATACTAATAAAAAAGTAAAGCACATTTTCTGTAGCTATACCTATAACAGTATTTGCTTTAAATATGATTCCAGTTTGTCTCTGCATAGAGTAATGACTGAGGTAGGAGCTAGAACAAGATGCCCGAAATATATATGTATCTTTTGTTAAGTTATTTTCTTTAGGAACCCATAATATTACTTGTCATTTTCTATCCTCTTCCCCTCTCTTCCTCATGTATGTGTGAATGTATGCATGCATGTACTTATATTATTTATTTATTGTAGGTTGTGTGTGTGTATGTGTGTGTGTGTGTGTGTGTGTGTGTACTTGTACATGCTAGCATGTGTCTGCCCATGAGGAGAGGTCAGAGAACAACCTAGAGGATTCAGTTTTTTGCATGTTATCTTATGTGAGTCAAGGATCAATCTCAGGTTGTTATGCCAGTACTCCTCTGCCCACTGAACCATCTTTACTTGCCTCATATTCCTCTCCTGAGTTGTTTAATAAGGTTCTTTTTTAACCATCTATTATCTTAGTCTTCATTTTTATGCAGTGTATATCATTGTAATGTCAGATTTTCTGAAGCACCACTTTTTGGACACTAAGCAATGACAATCATGGCAGAAATAATCTCCCAGTCCAATATGTGTGGATGTACATACTTCTAAACGTTGTTAACTTTTATCTTTTTGAAGGTTAAATATGTTTCACTTTCCAGTCAAACCTCAAAGAATGGGTGAAATCATTAATAAATATTATTAATACTGTAATTGAATTTCCTATAACGTAAAATTTTCGTTACATGTGAACAGAGACTTCAGAGTCCACCCATATTTTTCTATTTTTCTTTTTTTTTTTTTAAGAGAATTATCTCTGTGTGGATGTTTAATTGTCAGGAGAATAATTAAGCCTTTTTTTTAATGAACTGTGAATTTAGGGAAGGAAAACCCATTCTACATATTTATTGCATAAATTGTTAAATCTTTCTCAATTACATATTAGTAACTGTACATTTATGGTGGTGCTCATTGCAGTTTGATGAAGAATTCACAGCTCGACAAGAAGCTCAAGCAGAGCTCCAGAAAAGAGATGAAAAAATCAAAGAACTGGAAACAGAAATCCAGCAACTTCGGGCCCAGGTAATGAAGCAAGATTTATACTTTACATCACAATGAATTTAATGGTAGAAAATTATCTTGTTAGTTAGAAGGAAAAAAAAAATGTTAGACTTTTTGGTCACTGTTGACAGTTTTCTTTTAGTTGAAATAAATATAGATTTGATATTTTCAAGACAGCAAATCATTTTAATGTTTGGAAATAAATAAGACTTTGTTTGCTCAAACTGCTCTGGATATCTTTTAAAAAATACAGTATACAAACAAAACTGTTTTTTACATGAAATTTTTATATTATTTCAAAACTTGTGTGCATAGTATTTTCTTTCTAAAAGAATATGGAAATGCTAATAAATTTTAATCATCCAAAATGCTTCTTGAGATCTTTAAATATAGACTATCTTCATTTCCAAACTTATATACTTTATTTCTAATGGCATTCCCTTACACAAAATATTTTATTTCATATGTCTAAAGTTTAGAGTTACATATAGTGTCAACACATTTTGTGGCTTAAAAGTATAATATGAAATTTAAGAGGGTGCCTTCAAGTAGTTAATGTTCAGTAAGTGATAGTTGATTGACTACATAAATTTCCAATAGTATATTGAATAATTACTTCCAAAGTCACTAATAAGTACTCATGGTGGTATCCATTTTCTATCCATATCCCATAAGATTTATATCTACTATTTATGTCTTTGTTTCTTCTTTCAGTATCATCGTACTTCTTTTTCTGCATGTCTGAGAACTTGATTTCTCTTACTTTCACACTTCCTCATGAGTAGAGATATCTCTGTGTTCTCTCTGCCTCTGGAATTTTTCTTTGCTTTGTATTTTGTGTACAAATGCCAGACTCAGTTTCATATGTTCATTTATCACCTTTAAGTAGGTGTCAAAGCTTTTGAGTCTGTCTTACATTTTTTGCTTTCCCCATAGGCAAGCCTTTTGTATTGAAAACAAACTCAATATTTTTGATCTTTTCTATTTCTTTAAACCAGCTTTGTCCAATTTTATTTGTTTTAAATTTTACCACTATTTTCTTAATACAAAAGTTTGACCTTTTTTCTTGACCTGTTCCTGATAAATATTAGTTCTTGTTTTATTTAAATTCTTCCTGTGACTCTTTCACCTCTTCCTCAAAACTCTGATCCCTTTGGGTGTACTCTCATTATATCTGGCCTCAACTATTATAATTGTCTCCTAATTTTTTTTCTGCCTTTTCCTTCTCAAGTTCAAGTTTTTATGTTAATGAAAAATCAATCCTCCTATAACATTGTTTCAGTTATTATTACTGAAGTATTTATTGTGTATAATGGTTGCCTGTTTTATCCAGAATTAAATAAAATCTCCTTACTAGAAATATGTAAGCTTACTGGCATAGGCTGCCTTTTACTTACTTCTTTTGCAGCTTAGACTCTCACTGCTTTCCTGACTAAGCAACCTCTGTTGCTGTTAATTCTCCTTTCCTTCTATCAGATCTAACTTCCTGCCTCCATATTTTTCATTCTGCCAAATTTCTCATAGATTACTTAAAGATACTTTAATGATTTTTTTACAGTATATTCAGTAGTCCACTAAATTGATTAAACATTAATTTCTTAAAATTTTGCAAGACTTGTTAGCCTATTAAATATTGCATGCTATCCTATACTGAAGGCATCTCTCTAACTGAAACCCTTCTCAGACTCATTTGCCCACAGTATCTTTTGTTGTTTCCATTTTTTTATTGTTGAGACAGAGACTCATTTTGTGGCTCTCACTGGCCTAAAACTTCTTCTGTAGTCCAGGCTGGCCTTCAAATCACAGAAAACCATTTGCATCTGTTTCCTGAGTGGTGGGATTAAAAGTATATCACACAGGGTATATACTCACTTATAAGTGGATACTAGACCTATAATATAGGATAGGATAAACATACTAAAATCTGTAGACCCAAAGACATTAAGCAAGAAGGAGGTCCCTTGGTAAGATGGTCAATCCTCACTCAGAAAGACAAACAGGACGGACATCGGAAGAAGGAGAAAAGAGGCAACAAGACAGGAGCCTACCACAGAGGGCCTCTGAAAGACTATACCCAGCAATGTATCAAGGCAGATGCTAAGGCTCCTAACCAAACTTTGGGCATAGGGCAGGGAATCCTATGAAAGAAAGGAGAGATAGAGGGACCTGGAGAGGATAGGAACTCCACAAGAAGAGCAACAGAAACAAAATATCTGGGCACAGGGGTCTTTTCTGAGACTGACACTCCAACCAAGGACCATTCATGGATAGAACTTAGAACCTCTGCTCAGATGTAGTCCATGGCAGCTCAATCTCCAAGTGGGTAACTAGCAAGGGGAACAGGAACTGTCTCTAACATGAACTCAGTGTTAGGCTCTTTGATCACTGCCCCTGAGGGGGGAGCAGCCTTGCCAGGTCACAGAGGAAGACAGTGCAGCCAGTGCTGATGAGACCTGATAAGCTAGAGTTGGTCAGATGGAAGCCTAGGAGTATCTCCCCTATCAGTGGACTTGGAGAGAGGCATGGGAGGAGATGATGGAGGGAGGGTAGTATTGGGAGGGGATAAGGAAGGAGGTACAACTGGGATATGGGGTGAATAAACTGTAAATAATATAAAAATAAAAATTTAATTTAAAAAGTATATACTACCTTGTCTGCCTGACTACAGTGCCTTCTATGTTTGTTATCGTTTGTTAGAAAAACAGTCTCTTTCTAGCACCCATGTCATCTACTCATAGATGTTGGTGAAGCCTTTCTTTCTTTCTTTCTTTCTTTCTTTCTTTCTTTCTTTCTTTCTTTCTTTCTTTCTTCCTTCCTTCCTTCCTTCCTTCCTTCCTTCCTTCCTTCCTTCCTTCCTTCCTTCCTTTCTTTCTTTCTTTCTTTCTTTCTTTCTTTCTTTCTTTCTTTCCTTCTTTTCCTCCCCCCCTCCCTCCTTCCCTCCCTCCGTTTCTCCCCTTCCTTCCTTCCTTCCTTCCTTCCTTCCTTCCTTCCTTCCTTCCTTCCTTCCTTCCTTCCTCCCTTCCTCCCTTCCTCCCTCCCTCCCTCCCTCCCTTCTTTCCTTTCCTTTCCTTTCCTTTCCTTTTCTTTTCTTTTCTTTTCTTTTCTTTTCTTTTCTTTTCTTTTTTTCTTTTTTCTTTTCGGCAACATACTGTCACTATATAACCCAAGCTGATCTGAAAGTTTCCATGTAGTCCATTTTGTGGGGCCATGCCCTGGCAAGCTGTATCAACTCCAGTCATTTTTTTAACTCCTAATTATTCAGTGAACAAAGAAGTGGCTACTATGTTTTGATACTGAGAGAATTCAAACTTGCAGAGGATATGCTTAACTTGAGTTAAACCCTATGCATTTGTTCTTTTCTTTTTTCTTTTTTAAGGTCCATTCACATGGTGAGAAGTACTCCTTAAATATTTTAAGGAATTTGTGCTTGTATTGTACAAATGATGTAGATCTAAGAGAACGAAAATATTGACTGATGTTTAAAATATTTATTGGGTATTTGCATTTTCTGTGTTAATTTTTCAGTTAAAGGAGGAGACAAACACAGATTTTGTCTTTCAAGTATTAAAAAAAAATACATTCTCATCATCCAAAATACTTGTAGCATAAATCACAAATTTTTCTGTTATTTTCACTAATGTTAATTAAAAGTAAAAATCAGGCTTTCATAGATTGCTGTTATTCTTCCTGACTTCTGTAAAGGATTTCATTGTAGGAATGGCTAGCCATTTTTAAGTGTATGTATTTTTATATGTGAATATATAAACATGAATATTTGTACATATGAATAATAATTTGATGAATACTAATTGACATTGTGTAGGACATATTTCCACAATCATGTCTAAGTATAAATTAAAAAAAAAGTTTTTATAAATAAAATTCTTATTTAAATTGCTTATCCAAAGTTTAGTTAATTGATTTTTATTCTGGAAGATTCATCAAATGTTAACTGGGACAGTGAAAAATAGTCCAAGTACAAACTTTATGTTAGTCAAGATAAAAGGACTTTTTCCTGGTTAAAGGAATAATAATAATAATCACCATGCCTTGAAATTTTAATTAATAAAATGTAAAATTTAGATTGCAAAAATGTCTGTTAAGTGGTACTAGTTTCTTTGAAATATAGTCATGTTCATTTTATAATGGGAACCATTGTTATCACTTATAGTATATTTAATCCTTAAAAAAATAATATGGAATGCAGTGTTATCTCCTTGTTTCAATTTTCATTAGAGAACAAGGCTGAAGTTACTTTCTGACAATAGAAATAAGTAATCTCCCTTCATGAACCATGTGTTTGAATTAATTCTCGTGGAAAATGATAGCCTTTCATTAAGAGAGCAGAATGGAAAGAGGAGAACCACATTCAAATACAGATTCTGTTGTTTTCTACTGTGATGTTCACGGGCATACTTGTGTGTGTTTGTGTGTGTGTGCATGTTAAGGTTCAAATCTAAGGCTTCCTGAATGTAAAACAAGTACTCTAGTAAATGAGCTATATTCTTAGCCTTCATTTAAAGTTTTTGCACTTAGTTTTCTCTTCTGTAAGCACTGAGATAACATTACAAGGTCATAATAAGGAAAAAAGGAAGCCATAGATGTAAAATGTTGATATGCTTATATTACTATGCAAATGACTGGTACTTAAAATTAATTTTTAGTATTTGAAGACAGCTAAATTAGTGGCACATCTAATAACTTTCTACAAGACTAATTGATACCCGAGGGATTTGAATCCATGACCTTGTCATACTTCAATCAAATTTTAATCATCTAGGCTAACAGTCCTAATCCATATGCCATATATCTTTGGCTGTATTTATAGTGAAAGGTATTATTTCATTATATTAGAGTTTTTCACAAAAATCTTCCAAACTGCAAACTTTCCTTTCATATCAGAAATAGTCATTTCCCGAATTATACAGAATATATAAAAAATCTGTATTTATAGGTACTGATAAAATGTACAATCTGGAAATCTTATGAAGGTATATACAATCTTAAACCCTAAACACCTAATGGATATGTATATACTTCGTGTTATATTTTCTTATAAGCATTAACCTTTTTTCTGTTTCAGGGTGTTTCATCTGCAATTCTAGGCCCACCTCCACCACCTCCTCTGCCAGGTGCTGGACCATGCCCACCACCACCTCCTCCACCACCACCACCTCCACTTCCTGGAGTAGTTCCTCCTCCTCCTCCTCCACCACCATTACTTGGGATGCCTGGTATTCCAGCACCACCACCAGCACCACCTTTGTTTGGAGGACCTCCTCCACCACCACTCTCTGGAGGAATTTTTCCTCCTCTACCAGTACCAAGTGAACTACCTTATGGAATGAAGCAGAAAAAAGTATATAAGCCTGAAGTATCCATGAAAAGAATCAACTGGTCCAAGGTAAGACTATAAATTTTTGCTTTTTCCATAACTGACAATGTGTGAGAAATGTGTTGCTGTGAGTTCATCATCGAATGCTGTTAAGATAGTGAGTACTAATATTATTCCTTTTCCCTGTGGGTTTACCATCTATGTTCATCTTCAAACGTGTGACCTAGATAGCTGAAAACTTCCTAAACACTTTGACATTACGGTACAATCAAAGGAAAAGAAAATTGAATATCTATGAAATATATGATAAATGAAAAGAATTTCATAGTGTTATCACTGTAAATATTAAACACTGTCACTTTCTTAATATCATTACTTGTAAAGATCCTGCTTTCTTTGGTATTTTTGTTTTTAGAGAATGATAAGGTTTTTTTTTTTATTGTAAACTTTAAATTTGCAGGGAGCAAGGAACCCAAAGAAATAGGAGGGCAAGAGTGTTTGGGGAAGTGTCACTGAAAGCAATGTATATAATGTATAAGTATTAAAATTTCAAAATAAAATCTAATAACTTGATATATAAAATATTTTTAAAACAGGTACATATATATATATATATATACAAGAATAATATATATAAGTTGAAGAGGAATATGCTGTATCAATTTCAATTTGAGGGTCTTTTCAGTAGCTGTCTTCATATATACTTTACTGTATGAGCCATTGTTTTTGTGTAGATTTTCTGTATAACAACTACACTATAAGTGTTCTTCTAAATATTTATGGGTGTAATTTTATATATTTGTAATTGATTTAGTGGATAGATGAACAAAGGTGAGTCTTTGAAAAATTAAACAAGAAGTAACAACATGAATGAATATCATTGTTATTTCTTAGATTGAACCTAAAGAATTATCTGAAAATTGTGTCTGGCTGAAAGTAAAAGAAGAAAAGTTTGAGAATCCAGATCTGTTTGCAAAACTGGCCTTGACATTTGCTTCCCAGAGGAAAGGTACCGTTTATTTTTACACATTATTAATGTCTATACCTGATGTATTGGAATTTATTTCTCTGCTAACACGTTCTAAGGATGTGTGAATGTATTGTTTTCTCACAGTACACAGGGCCAAACATAAATATATTCATGTATTAGCTACAATTTACCCTATAACCAAAAGAAAACTTTCTCATTTCAATTTTGTTTTGCATAAATATTAGTATTTAACTTAAAATACAGGTTTTATCTTTATTATTTAATACTTGTGGTATACCTCATAAAGTTGCCACTTTGCTGAGATTAATTTGTAGATTTCCCATGCTACACAAAAATCGAGTCATAAGATACTAATACTTCCAAACTATATGAATTATATTAGACTAAGACTGGTGCCATAGGAATTATGCTTTTGTCTTTTTAAGTGTGTATTATTAATAAACATTATTTCCCAGGAAATCTCATAGTTATTGTTATGAACATTAGTTCTGAATTAATATATAAATTTGATCCTCAGCAAATATGATTGTTGATATTACAATAGCATATCTTTTTATGATTATAACTCTAATATACTTTTAGGTATTTCACATATGCTATTTAGGTAATATCCAAGTCTCACTATTAGTCATTGTGATACTTTATATTTTATTTCACTACAACAATTTTAGTAGTTATTACAGAAATTAATTGTAGACATTATGCTATGTAAATCAGTCTTTACAAATAATAAATGGAAATATTCTATGCTTTCCTCTTAATGAATGCTTTTACTATTCACCTGCTCTATTGTGATGTTAGTTTGAAGATATAGAATGGAGGAGGAGAGAGAGAAAGAAATCTGTGATCATTAGAGTGTTCTGAAGAACTTTGACATTTAAACAAATATTATTAATTTAAATTTTTATTTGTTATAATTGGTCTAGTCCATACAAATGATTAAGCAAGCATGTATTTTACAAGTGAAGAAAGTAAGAATAGAGACAGAAAGGATAAACGATTAGGTTGGCTAAGGTGTATGTTATGTTCAATATACAATGTATATGTCTGAATTTTTTTCAATCAGTCCATTACAATACTAAGTTATTAATTGTCATGCAAAGTACAGCCTTCTTGAAAAAGGATGTCTAAACAGTCACATCTACTCTTTTCAATTGTAATACATGCAACTTCCACTGACTGAATTATCTCATCCATAGTGTGAATAATGTTTAATTAGGTAGGAAAATTAAATCAGGTTATATATACATATATATTTCATATATGTATACATATTTACATATATATATTTCATTACCTGGCACAATCACTGTTTGTTATCTTAACAGATATTTTATAAGTATTCATTTGTTTTTCTCTTTTACTTATCTGATGCTGTGTATGTAGGTTTTGTTTTAATTACTGACAATTACTACAAATGGTGGTTTGGAAAGAGAATTTTCTGTTCTTCCTTGTAGTATTTGATAAATCAAATCGTTTACAAAAGAAGGAGTGCTTAATGTTCCTGCCAAAACTTAATCAAATCAGAATGAAATGAAAGAAAATTATTCAGATCATATATTCACAGCTGTGAATTTTCCCTCTCCATTCCCCAGTTTAATTCTTCAAATTTCTATGTGGCATTATTCCTAATTTTCTAATTTTGAATATTGAAGTACATATAAAGACAGTGGAACACTTTGGTGTCATTGTTTTATTTCTGAAGGGACATTTCAGAATCAGTTAAATGTCATAGAACATTCTGTACATGCATGCAATAGAACAAACAAATTTTAGTGACACAACACTGACATTTAAATTAACCTTAAATACTGATTGTTTTTCTGTTGAAGTTCCTAGTTGAAGTTCTTTGACATTCAGAGTGCCTTGATCCATAATTTGGTCGATAGATGGCAGGCTTAGTAAGAAATCAGCAGGAGATTCTGGCTCCAGCAAACTTAAGCTGTCCTGCCTTGACCCACCAAGCTATAGGGCACCACTTTCTTTTCATTCTACTGCTCTTTGCAGCTCAGTCAACACCATTCTGGAATGATCCACCAACTTGTTGTTTCTAAGACCTAGTCCCAAGGCTGTTAGATTCAATGTTCCAAAACCTTTTGAGAACTAACCCCTACTGCAAGGCCATTGAAGAGCTCATGGCTCCATCCTTACTAAATGCACTGTAAAGCATTACTAGTCCATATTGTCAAGTGAATGTTTTAAAATTTAAAGTAGCTTTACAATGTAGAAGCTTTAAAACATACCAGTTTTAATATCTATAATATTTATACTTGTAAATATTTAATATTTGAAAAGTTCCACAAAATTATACTTTATGCATGAATTACTTAGATTTTTTGAAAAATTTATATTTAGTCTTCCACTAAAAGGCAGTTTATTTCTAATTTAGGGTAGTGTGCATCTCATTTCATTTAAGTAGTTTGTAAAATACCTAGTATGTACATGGGAAAAAGAAACTGATTACTATCTTCTCTCTGTAGCAGAGAAGTCATAGTTTGTTGATCAAGAAAGGAAGATTACCATATTTAGTCAAGTTAGAGTAAATGTTAGAATAGACTTTTTTTTTCAAAAGCTGTGGGAGCATATAATATAACTAATTTCAATTTAGAAAAATGAATAATACAAGGGTGTTGGTATGAGCATTTTAGTACAGTTTCAATAGGGAAAGATGGAAAGAAATCTTTCTGGCTAGGGAAAAACATTAACAATGTATTAAAAATTTAGATTACCGTAACTTAACTGAATTTATTTGTGCAAAGAACTGCTTGTGGACTTTGTAAGACTAGAGGTCAGAAGATATTCATGGGAGCAAAAAGCTTTTGTTGTTTAATTTGTTGGTTGGTTATTATTGTTATTTGGTTTTTGTTTTCTTTTTTTTTTTTTTCAAGACAGGGTTTCTCTGTGTAGCATTGGCTGTTCAGGACTCACTTTGTAGACCAGGCTAGCCTCAAACTGACAGAGATCCACCTTCTTCTGTCTCCTTGAGTGCTGTGATTATAGATATGTGCTACCGTACCTAGCTGGACAGCAATCTTTTGTATGCTAAGCATGGACACAAAAACAGAAACCAAAAGGCTGATTATAGTTAGGCATTTACCTTATTTGAGTATTCTGTGATCAAAGCTTCATTCTTTGTGATTGGTGGAAATTCACCCTGGTCATTACAAAAACACTATGTACTAATTAGGCTGAACTAGAAGTTTAGAGCCATCTCTAAGCCTATGGTCTCCTATTAACTTAACAGTGGGAAGAAGAGATGTACATACTGTACAGAAAGCACATATAGCAGTTGTTGGCTTTGGAGTGAGGAGACTTGGTGAAAATGTTTGCTTTGCTCTTTTCTTATTAATGTGAGCAGAGCCATTGGCCATAAAACCTGTCTCTAGGTCTGAACATTTGCTCAAATTAAGAGAATCTGATGAAATAGAAAAACGCAAAAGTGATTTTATAAACAGTTTAAGCCAGAATTGGATAGAAACTCTAAATTTCTCCTTACTTTGCTTATAGCATTGTTAACAACTAATAGAAAAAGTCAAACAAAAACTATGAAATGTGTGTAACACTCTTCTTCCTACAGGGTTAATCTTCTGGTATCAGATTCATTTATGTTCCTGGAATGATATTTTCAGTGGGAATCTTAATTCCTAAACCCTATTCCCTATATTGTATACCAGATCATGATTATTAAACCTAGTTTTTTTTTTCATGTGTAAGCCAAGATGATTTACAGTTTGTGTGATGGATCTTACTAATTGTGAATAAATATCACTAACTTTGGCAAGGTACAATGATACCCCCAAATTATTATGAACTCTTTTTATCTTCTGTAAGTTCTTTCCTCTATTTTTAGAACCCTGTGTTTTTCTTATTATGAGATTTAAGTTCTTATAGGCCATCATAATTCTAATACAAAATAAAGTTCAACATGTCTATATTATGGAAATACAAACACATATATTTATATATGTGTTTATATGGCCAGAAGAGAGCATCTGTAGAAGTTCCTGTAGTCTTTCTGAACATACGTTTTATCTGTAACAATTGGAATTTGTATGTTTTCTAGTTATATTTTATTAAATTAAATGATATTTGGAGTTATATAACCAGGCAGACTATAATGGTAGTGTTATTTTGCCTTTTAAAAGTATAGTAATTTTAGATAATATTATATAAGAATTAAAGTAATTATTGTTAATATTAACTAAAAGTGAAATAGTAATGAAATGTGTAGCTTATAACTGCTAATTCTAATTAGAATTTCTAGGGTTCTCTAGAGGCTTTAGGAAGAACAAAGATAGTGCATGTTTGGAAATTGTATGCAATTTCTTTGCTTTTAATGTTGCTTGGAGAGAATATAAGAAATAAACGTAAGAGCTTAATAAAACTTAGCTTTTTAAATAATATATTTATAAAGTGTAGTTTAGGTTTAATTATAACTGAAAATGAGGTGTTCTAAATATTTCAAGCGCAGATAAATTTTACTTTTAATACTTGAAATATTGGAAAGATTTTTGTAGAAAATAGTTTGATGATGTATGTATATAAAATCATTTAGCTTTCTTCTAAAAGGGTATTTTCAGTAGAACTTTTTAGTTTTAAAATCAGCTACCTGGCCCTGAAAATATCTAATGCTACTTGATTTCTTTGCAGTGTTTTGTTTTGTTTTGTTTTGGTGTGTGTGTGTGTGTGTGTGTGTGTGTGTGTGTGTGTGTGTGTAGAAACGAAAAGAGAAAAGAACCCTAAAATCTAATTTATGTCCATTTTAAAATTACAGAAAATTTTGCAACTAGCTTTACAATGATGAGATTTAAGTCTCAGTGTGTTCACACTTTGTATAATGGTGTTAATGTCCTTCAAGATCAACGGTATCCGAACAGATACTTTGTCTTTTTGTTTGTTTGTTTTTCCAAAACAGGATTTCTTTGTGTGGCCTTAGCTGTCCTAAAACTTGCTCTGTAGACAAAACTAGTCTTAAACTGAATTAAGCTTTAATAATGTTTATTTGACAAATGTAGGAG